TTAAAATTAAAATCTAAATGTAAACCATAATAGGTCCAACAAAATAAATCTCTTAAACTTAGAAAGAAGCCTACGGTATCGACAGTCGCAGTACTAGGATTATCGAACTTCAACGTCTAGAGAGGAAATAGGATTGCTAGTAAAGTCGAACACCACGTATCTCCTATGGAATCCTGCGTGGTTAGTTCCTGGCGCATTGGCCACGATGGGCATAAGCGACGCTAAGAAGGCAATATAATTATGTAATATATGTGAATCTAAATAGGAAAATCTGAAATATATGATTGTATATTTGTATAAGTATTATTTTTATTTGACTTTTTTCTGAGTCAGAACCGTCGCAAGCTAAGCAGGTACTTTCTAAAATTTAGTTACGTACTGTCTGCTGTGAAACAATGGTGACCGTTTATTCACATTGGCCGTTATCATCACTGTATTTCCTTTTTAACGATTGTTATTATTACAGAAATGTAATCGTTTTAATGCGAAATTCGTTATGCAATGAAATTATACGCCGTTTGTAATTTACCATGACGTCAGCGATATTGCCATTTTTCAATTGTGACCGTTGAAAAGGACGAATTGTCATTTATTTCTCTCGAAAATAGATTTTTATTCCATTTATTTACTCTTAAATGACAATAATATGGGTACGGCCGCAGATGTCATTATCTATTAAATTAACTGTGAGTACTCATTTAAGTAGGTACTATATATGATTTTGTTATTTTTGAAAATGTATCCTTTATCAATTTGTGAATATTTTTATTTATGTAGTTTACTCATTAGATCATTGGCAACCGACCAAAGACAACGTTCTCAAAATGATTCTACCTAACTCTTTGCGTGTCATGTTGCATGAAATGTTCTCGGATTTTGAACGTACTGTGTTACATATCCTTCTTAGAATTTAAACGATCTTGTTTAGGTTCCGTATTAATATTGTAAATAAGCTTGTATTAAAACGCATTTTTATCTTAATGTTAACTTTTATTATATTATTAATGTCATATTTTGGTGTAAATATTGTAATTGGAAAAATGTCTCTCTACTTGCTTTCTAGTGCCACCAAATTTTGTCTCAAGTGAAAGAACACCACGCAAATTTATGTGTAAAAGAAAAAATATACTTCGGTAAAGCTAACAATGTATTGAAAGTCTCTCAAAACAAGTGCATAAACATTGTTTAACCTGTCGTGTACCTTTCTATAAAATTTTGTTATGGCTACATGCTATTGTAAAACGAGCTTCGAGCAACCGTCGCTGTTTTGAATATTCTGTGCAAGTCTAAGCTGTGTGTACAGTTTGCCGCAACGTTATGTATCTCTCTCGCACACTATGAGGTAAAGATCGGAGCGAGCGGAACAGCATAACACGTTGGAAGACACTACCAAATGTTGGCGTGGTCTTGCTTTTGCAGGGGTGTCAACATATTTAAATTTGTACGAGATTTTCAGCTACGAAAATCGGTCAAAATATTATGATGGGTTACAGAGCCAATTTGACCTAATGTTAGAAATTTTATCATTTAATGGATTCCTATATTTTTAGTTTCTTCATACGAGGCTAAGTGTTTTCAAGTTGGCAACCCTGCGCATTTCTAAACAATACTCTTTGAACAGGTGCACGTGTGCTCTCTGCTTACACAAACTATTTTACTGACTATTCCAATCACGTATATCTGTAAGTTCTTGTGTACAAACGGCACTTCCATGCACCGGCTATAAAGATTTTTATGAAAACTCACGTAATGGCTTTTAATTGCATTTAATGTATCTGATCAATTTATAACTCAACGTAAGTGTCGATAAAAAGAAATTGAAATCTTTATTAGACAACGGTCGCTGCTTGAACCCAGTGATAAGGTTTTAAACAATACAGAGAGCGGTGATGGATGTGAGCTCGTTATTTTGATTTGTGTGGTTCGCGCCCAGACTTTCTGATTAATGGGCCCTCTACAGTTCTTCAGCCTTCCATGGTAGCTGGTATTATCTACCTGTGTGTGTTCTATCTTGTTACCAGTTTTATAATTTAGTTCTTGTAGCACCTGACACCACTGTATATTTACTAAATATGAAGTTGATATTTTTTTTTTCAAATTTTTCTGTACTAACCTTCTACTGACTATTACCATATATACATAAACAACTACGTCATTATGTAACACCTGTGACACCTTCTATTCATTACTTTTCCGGAGGACTAAGCTATCATGCCTTGGTACCTTGTAATTTCTCTGTCTCAATTCGCCTTTCAATTGAAACATTACAAACTGCTTGACGGCAAAATAGGTAAGACAAAACTCTCTACGCAGGCGTCTTTGTACAATTATCGCGATAAATACTACTTGTTCAGAATTATCTAGACCAGGACTTATTCGGGACACCAGGCAAGAAAAAATTATAATTAGGAAAACAAAAAACTGGGCCACATCAAGAACAGTATAAATATTATAATTCGGTTCAGTTTTTCTAAAGTGATCTTACCAAACGAACACTTTAAATTTATTTTAGATTATTATAATTCACCACACACATTCTAACTACACATACCTTCTACATCGTTTATAAAACTGCTCTATAAGCATCAGTAGTTCTGGTATTTGATGTGATGAATGTAAATTAGGTGTATACCTACTACAGTTCAAGATTGTATACACGCAAGGCATAATAAACGCGGTGATTTATATTATATGGTGAAGGTATTTATTCAAATAATATTAATGCGATGGGAATTGGCTCTAAAACTCACGATAATGTGTGTACTATTTTAAATATGTGAGATTAAGCGTACATATATTTTAACATTCTATTTTTATCGTCACTTACGTACTAGGTTTTTTCCACAATATTATTATGTTTAGAATTTTGAAATTATCTAGGCTCAAGTCTAATAATATGTAGATTATATAATATTCTGAAGTATTTTATATTTCATTAACAGGTGTCCATTTTATAAGTATTTAATTTTTTAAATTCTTCTATATCACTTAACATAGTACCTTTTGAGACAATTACGATAATGCGTTGTGTTAACGGTGTCTATATTAATTATTGGAACAAGAATAAAAAAACTGTCCTAGTAGTATAATATATAGATCGTAAACAACTCATCAATTACCGATTAAGCCTGTCTCGTTGGACGTGTATCCAATATTCCAATAGCTTGATATTAATGAATTGCTAGTTTTTAAAGCGCACCTGCGCGCGCGCACTCGCTACAATCCGTCGTGTGCCGACAACATCACATTTCCGCTTCATCTATTTTTTCTATCTCCTGCTAAACTATAATTACTTATACGTTTATCTATATCTATTATTTTCATGTCATTTACTGTGAATAGAAAATTATTTTCACAGTATGCCCCAATGAGCCGTCAGTATTATAAATTGACGAATATTGATAGAAACTTTCAAGCAAAGTATACTTTATTTTTACAACTAAAATGCTTCAGCTTCGATAATGAAGAGGGTTGGTAAACAACGCAATTATGTAGGTACATAATTGCGTTGTTTACCAACCCTCCTTATATAACAGTACATTGTGTAAACGGGATATTTACCACAATAATATTTATAAGTTATAATATTATACATACTTCAGTACATACTAGTGGATGATATTTATAAATGGTTATGTTGTGTTATTGTTTTATGTATTGAATGAATGTATTTTCTTTGTTCTGTCTTTCTTTAAAAGCTCCTGATATTTCGACGTTTTTAATATCGGGCGTTCTTAAATAATATTATTACGATAAATACCCCGTCTATATAATATGAACAATTGTGAACATACGTGAAATAAGTGTACAACAATGTTCATATATTATTACAGATTAATATAAGTATCTCATAAAATAATTATACATACAATGTATTTAAATTATTACACTTTTTTTTCTTGTTATTTAGGTATTACATGAGATAATCTCTTGAATATTAGCGCCATGCTTGGTTGAATTTGAACTGTTATGCAAATAGGGGGAAGTCCGGTGAACTCAGGTTTGCTCTCTTTAGTTTTTGCCATGCTTAACTTAATATTAAGTATATAATTATTTGTATAAACTGATATAAGATTTAAGCTGAGAAACTACGTAATTTTATTATATCTTTTAAAATTATAATAATAGGATAAAAGTAACTAATGTTTTTCGATAATACAGTCAAGTACAGTTTGAATTTGTTTGAAAACTACGGTAGCCTCAGATGGTTGATAGTTTATCTTCAATTATTTTTCATCACTGTCCCCTCTATTACGCTTTTATACAATCTCAAAATTTAAGCATCTGGACTTAAAAGGTTTTTCAGTATTATGACGTAGTTATAATTAGGAATAATTGAAATTCTAGCAAACTTCGATTGAGTTTTCAAAATATTGCTTTTATGGAGTGGCATCTCGATGTGACATTCGGTAAAAGTGTGAGATATTTTTGAATTAAAAACCTGATATTATGGTAGGTAGTTAAAAAGTCACATTTTATATGGTATGGATAAGTAAATTGTAGTGTAACAATGAGAGGCGCTAGGTGGGCGCTCATGTCTCAAGACGGTAGCGACACGGGTCGGTGCGCACGCGCCTCCGGAAGGAACCCACCGTGGGAACTATGGGCTCACCAGACAGTTCTACATACACCTGCATTATGCATTTAACTAGTAATTAGTTCATTTATTACGAAGATAGTGTGAGAATGCCCTAATAAAAGTGTTGGTAATTATGTAGGTTTAATATTTTTGGTACTATAAAAACTATAAGTGTTTATTATAACAAACTCTTTTGAACATTAATATATATATATATAACGTGAGATTTTATCCTATTGATGTTTTTTAACCTGCTGAAAAACCTCAAGGTATTTCATATAAAAGAAATTACAGATTCATATAACCTAGTAAGTATTCATATTGAAAAAAGTCAAATACAAATTATTCTTGTATATTTTATTAATCATTAATATCACAATGAGAAAATAATTTACTAAAATGAAATTTGACATTAAATATTCTAGTCCGCCTTGTTTTTGGCTAAAGCTTGAGATCTTATTGTATAAGATGTCAGTATGCCCATTACTGCGACTAAAGCAGCAAAGTACAATACGTACTGAATATCTAAATATTCGCTAACAATGCCGACGAACATCGGCGTTACTACTCCTGAAAGCGATCTGATGCTGCTCGTAGCTCCAATGACAGAGCCTCTACGATCACTCTCCCCTTTACTTACAATCATTTCCAATCCCACAATCCTCCCCACAGCTCCACTTAATGCAAGTGGTATTGTGAACACTACATAGGACAATAAATTCGGGGCTATAGCCATACCCAGTAATCCTATTGTAAGTGCAGCAAAGACATGATAAAGTCTGTTACTAAAATCTTTATCGTTCTTATATAGTTTATTGACATATCCAAAGAAGAAACTACATAACGCACCTATGACACCTTGAAATGCTATTATATATCCCAAATATTTAGGGGACGCGTCGTGTTTTGTTTGTAAGAATATTCCGTAACTCTGGAAATACATACTCATGCATAGTGTCATGATTAGTTTGAACACAAAAATATCCCAGTAGACAGACCAGTCCACTTTGTAAAATTCTTCCACTGATTCCTTAAGACTGTTTATAACATTTTTTAATATACTTCGAGCTGTTTCATCATTCTTAGTTCTATTTTCCTCATTTTCTTTGATGGTAATGGGTAAAGACTTTATGAGACCTGTAAATAAGTTATAATACTAATCAATGTACAACTCTTGTTCCTCTTTTCCTTCATTTTTTCGAAATCTATGTGCGCTATTATGTACATGTTTGTCTATGTTGTTATTTTATATAGACATATAGATTTATATTTTCTACGCACTGTCACCTACCCTTTTCTTATCTTTACTTTATCCACCCTAAAGTCCTAAAGAAAGTAAGTGATAAGACTGCCTTTTGTGTAAGTTAATGTAAATTTACATTCTTAATTATATTATATTATTTGTTATAATATAGAGTAAATAAAATAATATAATAAAATAAGATAAAATAATTAATATAAATAAATAATTAATAAAGCGATTAAATAATGTAGTAGTATACTTACATGCATTTATAGCAAATAAAAGTCCAGTAAAACAAGACATAATTGTGAATCCACTATCGGGGTAGGATTCCATAATATGTCCACTTATTATCGGCCCCAAAGACATTCCGATACTAGATAACGCTGCTAGTTTTCCAAATACTGCCGCTTGTTGGGTAGAGTCTATCTCGCAATCTGGCGCCAATGCTTTCAACAATAATTGTGTTTGCTTTACTAAACCTGAAAAAATAATCATGTAAACTTTTTTATTAAGTTCATGTCTTTAGATAAAAATAAACGTAAATCATGCTTACCATGTTTAACTAATATTGTTATTATTTTTAATTTGAATTTTGAATTATTGATTTGAAATTTAGCCTTCAGTTATTTTACATGTGATGCAACCAGAAATATATACCATAATTTGAGATTTAATTTCTACAGATAACTTTTACTGTGACAAAATTTGTATGTTATTAATGTAAATTTATTCTAGTCATGATGACTAGAATAAATTTCGGAATCTGATGTGCGGAGCTGATAAAATATATAAGCCTAAGAATTTGTTGAAACTTATATTTTAATAAAATAAGTAATTCATTCTACATCTCATAAAGTACTTGCTACTCATTTGAAATGACGTACTCACCTAGAAAAGATCTTATTGCAAAAAATGAAAATATAGTAGTTATAAATCCTAATATTACGTATGCAAATGTACATAGTACTAAGCACAACAATAGTGTCGGTTTTCTGCCTTTCAAGTCACTCCAACTTCCCTGGAATTGAACAGAACCTATAAAAAGGAATTTACTTATGAAATTTATTGCTAAAATGTCTAGAATATAAAAGTTAGATTTATAATTTTTAGCGAATTCAAGTGTTATTTCAATGTTGACTGTTAATACTAGAATAATACTTCAAAAAATCACATATGAGAATATGACTGTAGGATATCTTTTTTATTTTATAAAAATTAAAAGTAAGGCTTTGTTTGTCTTCATTTTCATTTCAAACAAACAAGTTGTTCACTTACGGAAATAAGTCAGTAGCTATATTGACTCAAAAATGCCAACCGTAGTGCGACAATAATAGGCAAATATTCTGTTCCACCGTCTTATGTATACTTAATATACATACGACTGGGGAACAGGCTTCATTAAAAGAAAATCGAATGGGTAGAAGAATATACAAACTTACTATCATTGGCGCTGATATCAACTGAAATGCTGAATATAGTGCACTCATAGCTCCCATTTGAATATGATTACATCCCAATTTAAGTGCAATATTTCCAAGTTGAGGTATGATAAGACCTATAGAAAACATGTCCTGTAAAAAAAGAATGATCTTCAAATTTATGGCGTAACAGCAATAATAATCATAGACTCAACCGGTCAGTTATATGACAGCATGACTACATATATAGTATAATATACTAGTTATAAGAAAAAAGGCAAGTTAGTAAACTTACCAAAAATGACACAATTTCCAGAATAACTTTCGGTGGAACCATTTTGTGTTATATTTCATAAACTACTAGATGCATGTATTAATAATTATATCTTAAAACAATAAAACAAACTAAATTTTAGAATACACATAAAACCCAAATCATGTCTGTTACGTATATGACATTGGTACGTACTGACATCAATACAATGATAACAATAACACAACCTCACTATTATGCGACGTCACATGAGTAATCATAGGTGTATAAGTACTTGTGTCATTGATTAAAGCATTGAACAGTATCGCCAGATGACTATCTGGTATTGTTGCCAATTATTTTATGAATATCCCACTAAAATATAGGTTCTAAAGAAATATTTCCCAATTAAGAAGCCTGTCTTGGCTATTTTTTGGGCCCGCCTTGAATTTTAGATATTACGGTGGGTTTGAGAAATTGATCTGTTTTTTCGGTCGACTGCCTTACATTTCTTGTTTACATTACTAAGAAACTTGGCGATTAGGAATTGGACGTCTAAAACCAGACAAAACCTCCCCAACTTAAACTCCTCAATTTAGGGAAAATCTCCAAAATTGCGTTACTCAATGTAAACGAACGTCTTTGTGACTATATTAAATTAGTATACCAGTATCTACTCAACATGATATCGCCAATGTCTAAGTTTATACAACAAAACATCTGATTTGTTATTAATTAATTTTATCTTAATGTGTTACAGCACGTTGCATGATAATGTTAGATAGTAATGATAGATACCATTTGTATACATTGTAGTGGTTGTGATGGGTTTATTAGTAATTAAATGTTGTTTGGTAATAACTGTTAACTTGACGGAGAAAAATAACTAGATTTAATAAATTTTGTGAATTTTGTGAATTTAGTAAGGTACACTTTTTATTTGGTTCACTTTTTAAAGTAATTAATTCTATAATTGTGGGATAGCTGCTTTCTTTATTTTTTCCTGTATATAAATTAGTGCCATATTGTGCTGTAATAGGTCCATATAAATCTGATAGTGACTGCGTAACGATTATTTAGTATCCCACGATATATAATCTGATCCAATTACTACTTTATGGTTTCTGGGTCATTTTTATTGTATTTCAAATAAGCAGCTAGCAGTGCGCCTACCTCGCTCTATTGTATAATTGCAGGATTTACTCTGTCATCATCTGACATCAAGTCATAGGAATTAATATAAAACCAGTTATAATTTTAGCTTTTTCGCAGCAATTTATGGTATTTTTGATATGTGGTAATAAAAGCAAAGATGTAAATTGTTAGTTAACAAGCTAATCGCGGAAATTTAAAAGAACTATATACCTACAAGGCCTTCCAATTCATATATGCGCTAATAGTTTTTTATATAACTTTTATTTCTTATAGAAACAGACACATTTTTTTCAAGGAATAAAGATTGATGTCATATTATAACTATTTTGAAAAAATATCTTTTTAAGAATTATTTTCTTTATTCTCTAAATAAAGAAAATGAATCCCTTAAACGGAAACATTATTAGAACATTAGACATAAATGAAGTCACCTATATAATTTTATGACAATTTTCTTTGTATAACAACGTGTGGTCCGGAAATGCGTTATCGGATGTCTGTATTTTTATTATGATTGTCTTTCTACTAATCTTAATCGCGCCTTTTTCTAAAATAAGACGGAAGCAAGTATAATCTTGGAATAATTGGTGTTTACCGTACATTCGTTACAATCTGTCATCACATTTTAAAATGAATCGTGAGAGAGTTCATTGTTTATTTAGTGCAATGCGCTAATGTTAATCTGTAACCTCATTGTCTTTATAATTTGGATTACTAACTTCACTAGATCATTATGATCTGTACGATAACTATATACCCGCGACTCTTTTGAGTAGTATTAGAGTATTTAAAAAATTAACCCCCCAAAAACGGGTGGACTTGAACACTGACTGAATAATTTCTTAATTTAAGTAATTCAGAAACAAACTTCATTAGTTATAAAAAAAAATGTTTAGTATTGCATACTACACTACTAATATATGCACCAGAATAAATTTGAAGTACATTTGTATTATAATATTACATACATTTTACTACCTTGTTAACATTACTGTTACGAGATTTTCGTAGTTGATAGATGTTATAAAAAAATATTTTTATTTAGCTGATTTACACAGCTTTTTAAGTAGATGCCTACTACTACTACATACATATGTATATTTAATCTTTATTTCTATTACTGATAAAACAATATCATGAAATTGTGTTTATCGCGTTTGATTTTTATGAGATTACAATGTATTTGGCATTGTCATCCGAATTACTGAATAGTTTGTGTATAAAGTATGTAAATGTATAAAAATACCAGCAAATAATATGTAATGATATAGTGATATACTTACCGCTTATAAACAGCGATAGTTACCACTTCCTTTCAGGTACCAAATTTTTATACTACAGGAGGAAACAATTTGGCAAATATTTTCATTGTAATATTCAGCTATTTGTATATGACTGAAATATATATGTTCTTAATATTTCAGATGTCTAATATTAGAGAGATAATGCGTCTTATGTATAGTTTATATAGTTTATGCCTTGTATAATTTAATGCTTGGTTTTACTTACAAACTTGCATTACTGTAAGTTGTTAACAAGCATAATTTGCACGAATAGCAGTCACTGCAAATAAATTTAGCTTCTAGCTCGTTAAATTATAGCGTTCTCGGGTATCAAAACCTTAACACATAATTTTCTGTTACTTTGTACCTTTATGTACCCCATCGACCCCACGTTTGACCGCTGTTTAGAGCGCATTACGCGCTCTGTTGGTCCTTTGGCTACACTTGCATCTAAATGGACTGGCGTACGACATCGTGCTTTATTACCAACCAATCTTCGTTTTAATTCTTTTATTTTTTGTCACTTGAGTATTTCGGAAACGTTTGCTATAAAATTTATTTCTTTTTATTTTGTTTTCAATAAACCAAATAACTTTTACTGGAAAAAGAAATGAACATTCCGACCGTTCTTAGAATCTCATTACTTTCATTTCTATAACGAGGGTAAAAAAGCTCACTTAAGTTTTTGCTCATGTAGACAGATTTCTTTTTTTTTTTTGTATTTAGAATAGCAAGCTGACGGCCCCTTCGATGGTAATTGGGTACCGTCAACTGTGTTCATACAAAACACCTCGGACAGCACGTGATGACGTGGTACCTCTTATGCCTTACCATTCTGGAGCACTACGATATCAAGCCTCATTACCCTATAATTTCACTATATCTCTTTACTTTACTCTTCAACCAAAACATATCTTATAAAGCAAGCAGCATGGTAGCTGGTAATAATATAATAACCGTGGCCAATTAGGTCAGCCTTCTAATTGTTAATGTAAATTTTTAATTAATTCATGTAAGATGTGGGCGGAGTTCAAGTTTGTCCGAACCCCAGGTGAGTCGAACGGTACGTTGGCACATTCGGTTATTGTGTGCACTGAATCGCGACCTCCGACATTTGATGAGTCACCCTTCCTGACCGTCTTCAAGGATTCCTGTGACTAACCATGGTAAAAAACTACCATTGTTCGTACACTCGATTTTGAAGCAACGCGCTCGTAATTTGTCGTTGAAGACTTACCTCGACATTTACGGCGTCTAATTTTACGAGTGGTTTCAACATTTTGAAGTTCATCGTTGGTGACTTTTACAACAGGGATAAATATCGGCCGAGTTTATAACTGGTTTGAGAGTTGAAGCGCTGTCTCCGTTGACGTACAAATGTATTCATCGACATTTAACTACGTCATAAACTCGAGCACTTACAGTTTGACGACATGGGTGTAAGTATAGTCTAGAACTCTTGACTGTGTTTATGTTTCTAGGAATTAAAAACTTATGTTAGTAATTAGTATAAAAGTCCAACGAGAAGTAAAATACTTTTTCTTCTTAAGACAGTTTTACAAACACCAACTTTTTAAGCCGGCTTTATATATTTTTTTAATTCAATGACAAGTATGATACAGTTCTTCGTTCATTGATAACAATGTTTTAAAAGTATGGCGCAATTGAACGGCGAGCTTAATCTCATCATCGGGAGGGCCCCGGCCAAGACGTGTGGGAAAACCACCGAAGCAAGACCGCCGGTGCTTCTACTAACTATCTAATTACTGTACTTGTCAGGTGGCCGGTCAAAGGTAAGCGTATGCGAGCAGGACTTTCAATTGCATGTTATTTCATCTGTACATTGTAATAAGGAAGTGGTGCTATTAAAGGATGACACAGGAAATGTCTCGCTGTCCAGTTTTATTGTCTTTTAGTCTGTGTAGTTTGCAAGTTACGATTCACATGGTAATAATAAAGTAATTGATAGTTATTTATTAATATCTTGAGCACATAACACAGACAAGACAGAGACAGAGATCGACAACTAAACTAGTCATTACTAAACTACTGGCCTTGATATTATAAAAGCTATGCATTACTTGTAAATACACTCTAGCACTAACATAGAATTTTCTATTACTGTTTGTTTATTTGTCTATATTCTATATTTTTGTATAATTGAACTCAATTAGGCACTACAGAATCTAATAGACCGCCATATTATATCTGCATAAAATCTGTATTAATATTTAAAGAGTCAACGAACTCAAATATTACCTCTGGTTGGTAGTTACAATCTTAAACGAATAATTTCATTTGTTTTCAATACAGTTTATTAAAATTGAAAGCGACAATTGAACCAATTTACGGTAGAAAATTTAACTGTGGGAGTGTGGTTAGTTCATGATTCCCGGTTACACTGAAATATAGTTTTACGTTGCGGTTATAGTATGTAATAATATAACTCTTTAAGTAACGAATATTATTAATTAGGGTGAGAAAAAGAAATAGACTCCTCGCCGCCTACGACAAGTGCACAGCTCTTAGGTATACAAGTATGTGTATGATCTACTTTCTATTTAAAATGCTTAGGTTAAAGTGTACGTAAATGGTTTGCTTAAGTAAGTTAACTCATAAATGAGATTTTATTTACAATTCATAATACGAGTACGTCATGAATCCATACTAAGTTGCTCCTATTTCACACT